TTTCTAGTGCTGTTTTGCACACGATTTATTGTAAGATAAATGTGATCTGCAAGAAGACTTGCAGACAGGACAGGTGCTTACCCCTTGGGAGGTGGGAAGGATGTGGGATTTGGGGGAGTGAAGAGAGACCTGTACTTTTAACGTGTGTGTGTGTGTGTGTGTGTGTGTGTGTGTGTGTGTTTGCGCTTAGTTGTTCAGTCAAGTTCAACTCTCTGCAACCCTTCAGGCTCCTCTGGCCACGGGATTTCCCAGGCAAGGATACTAGAGTCGGTTGCCATTTCCTTCTCTGGGGGATCTTCCCGACCTAGGGATCAAACCTGGGTATCCTGTGTCTCCTGAATTGCAGGCGGATTCTTTACCTGCTGAGCCAACGATTTGTTTTCCTCATCTCTTTCCCAAAGAGTCTTTTGAGATGTTTTTCCTAACTGCCTCCTGCTGCTGCTAAGTCACTTCAGTCGTGTCCGACTCTGTATGACCCCATAGACGGCAGCCCACCAGGCTCCCCCGTCCCTGGGATTCTCCAGGCAAGAACACTGGAGTGGGTTGCCATTTCCTTCTCCAATGCATGAAAGTGAAAAGTGAAAGTGAAGTCGCTCAGTCGTGTCCAACTCTTCACAACCCCATGGACTGTAGCCTACCAGGCTTCTCCATCCATGGGATTTTCCAGGCAAGAGTACTGGAGTGAGGTGCCATTGCCTTCTCCTAACCTCCCCCAAATTTAATACAAAGGAACAGAGTTGGTTGGGGGAGGGTCACAAATGATTGTAATACCTAAGAGAATGCATTGCTCTACATAATTTTTGTAAACAAGTTATTTTAGAAGTCCAAAAGAAAGCTCACACAACTGGAGGACTGCGCTGCCTTTGAACTGTAGGGTGACTCCACGCTGGAGCTCTTGGCTGCTCTGTGGAGAGCGTGGGAAGGAGCAGGGGCTGGAGCCACCGTGGGCCTGGGCCCTGGCTCAGAAGCACTGTAACAGGAGGATGGTCTATGCCATCAAATGCCCTGGAGGCTTTTTCCCAGTCTTCATTTCTGCTTTTTGATTGTATTTGGCAAGGTGGGGGTGTTTGGTGAGCTTTTGAGAGAAGCCTCCAACAGGTGTTCTCTGCAATTATAGGAAAGTCATTTGCAAGAGTGTCTTGGTGTTAGAAGAGTTGGTAGGCCCCGCTATAGAGAATTCCTGGGTGTTTAGGGAAGGAGGCAGGGCCATATGAGGGACCAGGGACTGCTGTGGACTTGAAAGGATCAGGCAGAAATTCTGAAAGCTGCTTAGGAAGGTCAAATAAAATAAATCTTAAAGACTAGTACAGAAGTGAATGTTTATAAACAACTTAGAGAAGTGATTTTTAAACAGACTAAAGTGAAGTTTCCATAGGTATTAATGAGATAAGATTAAGTAATTTTTAAAGGTAACTTTTTTGGTGCAAGGGAAAAGAATGTCAGCATTTGCTTACTGCCTGATGTTTAGAAATGAAAGATTTTTAGATAAAAAATAGTAAGTAAATTTTATTGGCCGAAGCCTACTTTTTATTTTTAATTGCTCTCAGTCCCTTGATTTTAAAAGATGTGTATAACAAAAAAATAAAGATGTGTATAACAGTTTAAAAATAACCTGTGCAGTTAAACAATATAATTACATTAGTTTGAGGTGTATTCTAGTATACTTTTAAAGGAAATTTATGATTTTTGCATCCAGTGGAACAGAGCTGCAGGCTAGAAGCTAAGAAACAAATTGAAATAGATTTTTTCTCCCTAGATGATTTCATAAATTTTTTATTGTAAACTTAAAAAGTGCACACTCCTAACTCTTGAACTCTATTTAAAGCTGACATGACTGCAGAAAGCAGTCACTTATTAGCAGTATTTGGGCAGAAAAATCCTTGCTACTCCTTCACTTAAAGGAAAACTCTTAAGTGAAAACCAATTGTTACACGATGTGGAAGTATACCTAGTTTTTATTTTTAGTTTATCACTTGGGGTGTTGAGCTTTGCATATATGACCTTACGAATTTTTTCTTCACACGTGCTATTATTACATTAACTCTCTGTCTCAGAGACAGTCAGCAAATGGTCTAGTAACTAGACCCCACCTGTAACTAGTCAGAGTGAGGGTTTGAACCCAGGTCCCTCCAAGTCCAGTCCTTGATTTTTCTCTCATGACTCTCTTGATAAGAACAGTGAACAAGAGGAGATAAAAATTTCTCTCGGGTGTTCCTTCTGGGATATTTCATGTTACATCTATAATCACTGTGGTTTGGAGCATGGCACCAAACCTGTCAGAAACATTTTGAACACAGGATATGTAAATATGATTTTATGTTTGTTTGGTTGAACATACCAAATGAACATACTGATTTGGTTAAGAATTACCACCACCACCCCACAAGAAAAACGAAACCTCTCCAACATAACTTCCATCTCTACAATTGAAAATATGAAGAGAGAGAATTTCTTTTTAGATTTTATTTTGGAGTACATATAGTTAACAATATTGTTAGTTTCACTTGTATGGCAAAGTGATTCAGTTATATCAGTATGTGTATCTATTCATTTTCACGTAAGAGAAAGAATTTCTTTACAATTTTTGCTGATTAACCAAATTATTTAACAGAAAGCGTAGCGTGGGAGCAGACCTGGTTCACTTATTCAGCCTTCCTGTTGTATAGACAGGAAATGGTTCGGGAATGAGATGAATTAACCAGTGGTCCCTAGCAAAATGGGTAGAACCAGGCTTTAGCCAAGATAGAGCCCCTCCTAGCCTAGGATATTGTGTTTCTTTGATTCATTGAAATGCCTCTCCCAGTTGAGAGTGCTTTGCTTTTGAAAAAAATTCAACTCACTCTTAGATATTGTTTGTCATAGCTATGCTTAAGGAGTACTACTTTCTACTTTTCTTCTTTGCTTGTCCTTTTCCAGCCATTTTCCCTTTACTCCCAAATTTATATATAGACAGAACTTCTTTTCTAGCCACCTAGAACTGGATTTCAGTGTGAAAATAGTCAAGTCTTAAAATTTTTTTAATTTGTTGTTTATTCCATTTTCTAAATGTGTCATGCGTAAATAGGTATATTTGGTATGTTGGAGGAGATGCATTATCCAGGAATATTTGTCTGAGGTATATATAGTAGGGGATGGCGCCTTCTTCACACCAGAGGCTGTGTGTTCCTGTGGCAGAACCTTCGAGCATCACTACCTCCTTCTCCCTGTTCACACATTTAGATGCCCATGTAACTCAGACTGGCAGGAAGTCAGAATAGATAGATGTGTGATTTTGGGGGGGTTGGGGGTCCTCATGCAGGAAGTTAACACAGTGTTGTGCCTGAACTATCTCATATAAACTAATCTCCAAGCCAAACATTAATCCAAGAAACTGCACAGTGTTACCTTAACATGAAAATATAAACTCACTGAATTTCCATTTTTGATGGCTGGTTAAGTAAATCTACAGCTTAAATTACTATTTTGTCAAATATTTTGTTGAGCTCTTTCTCTAATTTGGGGAGCAATGCAGATGATAAGGACTGCTGTCTCAACATGTGTGCGTGCTAAGTAGCTTCAGTTGTGTCTGACTCTTTTGTGACCCTGTGGACTGTAGCCCATCAGGCTCCTCTATCCATGGGATTCTCCAGTCAAGGATACTGGCATGGGTTACATGCCCTTCTCCAGGGGGATTATGTCTCCTGCATTGACACTAGTGCCACCTGGGAAGCCCCTGTCTTCTTAAAGGACACAGTAATTACTGGAGCAGAAGCCCCAGCCTTGGTGGGGGAGAGGGGAAAGTTTTCCTCTGTGTCTGAGACAGACTGGAACTTGAAGGGCCTCTCCATGACAAAAATGTCATCATGCCATCTCATTTCTTTCAGTCATATGTTATAGAAGCAAACATTTATACCAGTTCTTTCCATTTCCATCAGTGCTGCAGCTCACTCCCAAGCTTACTGTGATGCCATCCCCCTGGGCATTGTCTGTGTGTTGGTGGCGCTTTCACCTGTGCTAATGAGCAGAAAAATGACATGATCCTTCCTTCTTCCCAGCTGTGTTCTCCTTAATAACTCTGTCTGACCAGCCTGTTTAAGGACTGACCCTGGGATAAGGAACAGCTTAAGAACTTGAGCATGTGATCTTTAACAATATTTATATTTTATTATTATTTTTTGTAATTGAGGTTTATGGTTTTATTATGAAGGGATCTTTTAAAACCTGTTCTTAGCAGGTATTTTTTAGCATGTATGATAGTAAAGTAGATATCTGTGTTGGTAATGTTGCATTTATTGTTGAATTCTCTAAGTAAAGAGTTAGCTTTTCTTTTACTTATTAAATGGTTGGGTGTTGGAGGCAGTGCTGGGTACTAAGAGTCCAAAAGTGAATTAAATGCTTTTCCTTCCTGTGAGGAGTCTAATATGATACAGACTATGCATAAGCAGAATTTCAATATTCTGTACATAGTGTATGTACAATAATTATTATGAGGAAGGTGTGTGTATATGCGTAGGGTGCTGTGTATTTGGCCAAATAAAAGACACAGAAACACCCAAACTTTCTAGGCAACAAAACTATTAGACTGGTAGGTACTGGCCAGTTGCAATACCGTGTAAAATAGTTGCATGTATCAGAATCCTGCCACTCTTACTCTCTCACTTAATGTGGTAGCTGATGACTTAATCTTCAACATTTAGTGTTGCTGGTGCCATATTGAAATACACTATTAGCCTGTCACTTCCTGTGTGTCATGAATGGGAATCTGTTTTATCTTGATCCATATCTTCTCCCTCTCAGTCCCAGCTTCCCTCCATGTGTTGTTCATCGTTTTGTATGACACCTCCTTAATCATAAAAGTTTTATTAGTTACTGAAGCTCAGATGGTTAGGTTTGTTAGTAAGTGCCAGTGAAGGTAATTTACTGCAGGTCACAGCTATGGTCTGAATGAATAATTAAGAAGAAGCCAGCAGCTTTGGGTGCTTCAGTGTGAAACTTCTAAAGTTAGTTAAGTTGTATTACAGATTGCTTCCAAGTATGATCATCAGGCAGAAGAAGATCTCCGCAATTGGATTGAAGAGGTGACAGGCATGAGCATTGGCGCCAACTTCCAGCTGGGCCTGAAAGACGGCATTATCCTCTGCGAGTAAGTCTTGGTCCTGACTTCTCTTCCAGTCCTCCCTGTGACCTCTGTCGTGCCCTCTTTCCCAGTCCAGGGTGTCAAACCTGGATATCCTGCAAATGTTTTTAATGCTTTCCTTTACTGATGTTAAAAGAACCAACTTTACATTCCAGTCCTTGTTTGTTATTCCAATAAGCATGCTGTCACTTAATGCTTTTCTTTTCAGACTCATAAACAAGCTACAGCCAGGCTCAGTGAAGAAGGTCAATGAGTCCTCATTAAACTGGCCTCAGGTAACAGCCAGACAGCAACCCTGACACTAGCTGGTTACTCTTTCTGCAGCAAGAACTTGATTATAGTTTTTAAATAGACAATTGAGCAGAAATCTGTGCATATGACTATATTTAGTTTTCTTATAGTGCTACTTTTTTAAGTGTTCCCATAATTACTTAGAATTAGTTCTGTGACTCTTAGATGTTGAGCTTAGATGTTTTTTTATTCTGTATTTAGTCTGTGTACTCTCAGGAGTTGACACAGCTTACACAGAGAAATACAACCTAGACCACAGGATGAATAAGGGAAAAATCAAGGAATTTAACATAACCAAGGGTTGACTGTAGAACATGGTATTAACCATAGTCTTAGTTTATGAATGTGTATGATTAAGTAAAATTGAATCTTTTGTCTTGAGCATGTTTTGAGATATAAGAATAAACATTCAGTAACCACACATTTTTTTAAATTAAAATTTAAACATAATAAATTGTGCATTAATGTAATTTTGTACCATTTGAGAAAGAAAATTCCAATCTTGGATAGCTCAGACACTGAATTCTTTAAAACATGTAAGGAAGGTCTTGACTTTAAAAAAAAACCTGACTGCTTAAAAAAGACCATTATGTAATCCACTTGAAATACTCTTTCCCTTTTTCTAAGAGAGCTACGCTTACTATGTATCTGGTCAAGAATCCTTGCCAAGTAGCTTTCTGCCTTGCATCTTGTATTTAGTCATAAAGACTTAGAATTCCCAGATAATATGCACGTCAGTGTTTAGCTCCAAAAGTTTTACGCTTTTTTTTTTTTAATAGTTGGAGAATATCGGCAACTTTATTAAAGCTATTCAGGCTTATGGCATGAAGCCACATGACATATTTGAAGCAAATGATCTTTTTGAGAATGGCAACATGACCCAGGTTCAGACTACGCTGGTGGCCCTAGCAGGTCTGGTACGTATATGTCTTTAATGGCTGGTAAAAAAATCCCTGCTACATTAGTGATTAATTGAGTATATGTCTTTAATGGCTGGTAAAAAAATCCCTGCTACATTGGTGATTAATTGCGTCTTTGCCCTCATGGGAATTCAGGCTAGGCAGAGAGAAGCCTGTCTCTCTGGTAATTATTAGCTTTGGAGAAAGGCTGCTGACATCAACTGCCTCATACTGGATAGCTTAATTAGGGTACTCACGTTTCAGAGGGCTCTAGTGTAGTTTGAATGGCCTTAGATATTTTTTTCACCGCAAGTTTGGGTCTTACCGAATGAAACCTTTATCTGTGGACCACATAACTTCTTTGCTGTTCCTTCTGTAAAACTGTTGGCGGAATCTCTGTGTAAGTGTTCCTTTTCAGCTAGTGTGCATATTTCTGTGTAGGCCAAAACAAAAGGATTCCATACAACCATTGACATTGGAGTTAAGTATGCAGAAAAACAAACAAGACGTTTTGATGAAGGAAAATTAAAAGCTGGCCAGAGTGTAATTGGTTTGCAGGTAAGTAATGTGGTATTGGGGCTTCCCTGCTGGCTTCAGTGGTAAAGAATCCGCCTGTCAATGCAGGAGATTTGGGATCGGTCCCTGGATCAAGAAGATCCCCTGGAGAAGGAAATGGCGACCCACTCCAGTATTCTTGCCTGGAGAATTCCATGGACAGAGGAGCCTGGCGGGCTAGAGTCCATGGTGTTGCAAAAGAGTTGGAGCTGACCTAGTGACTAAACAACACTGATGTGGTACTGCTTCTTATTTTTCACCATCCAAAGTGTCTCTTATAAGGAATAGATACATACATTTTGCAATGGATATGCGGCTTATACAATTTATCTCCATTTAAAGTCCATTAGACGATGATGGTTTTAGGAGAAACCTCAGACATGCCCTCTGACTTGGTAATTGTTTCTCCAGGAAATGTTTTTTAGTCCTAATTACATTGTCCTAGTTTCCAAGAAAACATATTTTATAAATTCTTAAATGTTATTGACCAAATGAAGCAATTTTACAAACCTCAAAGCCAGTCATTTATTTACCCTAAAGCATGGTTTGTCAGTCCTGGGGAGTTCTTCATTCAGGTATTTTTTTCCTTTATGTTGTTCTCTTGGAGAATGTCACAAAAACAGCACTGCTAAATGCCTAGTATGCTAAGGGCCTTACTATCTGATCCTTTTGGATACAATGCCTCTCTGTTGATTGAGTCAAATGAGGTGGATCTGTTCATTAATTTCAGCTTTATTGGAGTATAATTGACACTGTTTTTTACACAGTACAAAATTGTACTGATGGTAAGAGATTACAAATACGAATTTCCAGTAATCAATTAAATTATGATAACTGATTACTCAAAATATGATAACTCCATAAGTGGAACTAGTAATGAAAAAATGATAATACAAGAGTTCAAAGATTAAGGAAAACAAATCAGGATTATAAAATACTGTGGTCAGTGTGATCCCAGTTTTATTTTTAAAATGCGCATGCATATTTTTGTATGTATGTGTGTGTATTTATAGGTATATGTATCTGGATATACACACAGAAACAAGGTAAGATTAAATGGTAATACACAAGTGAATGTCTAAATGTTAGAACTATAGTGATTTCCCCCCCTTTTTGCTTATATTTTTTATCTTCTCCAATAAACAGGTTTGACTTGTAACAATACAATTTTCCTCTAATAGATCTTTGATTTTAAAGACAAAAGACCAACAGTAGAAATGTGTCCCCAACTAGAACAGGGTATGCTGGTTAGCCCTGAAGCCATGTTACTCACAGTGGAGAAGAAAAGTTAATTAATTTTCTCTCAACGTGGTTGAATTTAAATTCTTCATTCTGCATCTCTATGTCTAATAATATGAAAACTGGAGATATAAAATGTAGCTTTTTTCCCCTAAAAATGTTGATTTTAATGAAACTTAAGCCCTTGCTAAAAGCTGCCAGACAAGACACCTGGCATTTACTATCACATTTTATACAAAACACATCTGGAGTAGAAAAGCATGTTGTTGAGCCAGAGGTGGTTCTGTCCCTTTGACTGGCTGAAGCAGGTACCCCTTAATTTGGTTACCTGTGCTACATACAGAGTGTGGGGAAAGAGTAGCATAGGGAATTATTCATAATTCTGCCATTGTCCTAATTTTGTGTGTGTCTGTCCTTCTCTTCCTATGTGCACATTTTTATCTCATTATGTTGTGAGGTTTTATATCCAATGAAGTCTTCGAAATTTTTCTTTTGCAAATGAGCACCTTAAAATTTATTTGTAAAAGCATAAAGGTTTTGTATTTAGTTAATGGCAACCTCAGCTCTGGAGGGGACTTGTCAATGGCGTCCCTTCTAAGAAACCTTTTTTAGCAGAACAGAAAGTTTGGTTGTGTCAGATAGATTGTTGACTTCTGATAATTAGTGATTTTACTTTTAACTTAAAAGATGGGAACCAACAAATGCGCCAGCCAAGCAGGTATGACGGCCTATGGGACGAGGAGGCACCTTTATGATCCCAAAATGCAAACTGACAAACCTTTTGATCAGACCACAATTAGCCTGCAAATGGGCACCAACAAAGGCGCCAGCCAGGTAAGCGACACCTTGTTTATACTTGTTTCAGAGAGCACAAAAGAGCCATTTAAATTCACACTTAACCACTTTGAACTCGGTTAATAAGAAAGTTATTTTTGTGCGATATATATAGAGTATACTCCTTGAGGAAAGTAAGACTTGCTGAGAAAGCAAAAGGATCACAGGACCTTCTCTGTAGCCACACAAGTACTGTGTGGCCCATGGCTGTTATTGGCAGTAAGAACAGCTGGCCTTTCTACTGAACCAGAAGAAAAAGATACTTTTATTACAGTGTTCTTGCTCCAAATCCAGTGAATTGCTCTGACTTTTTTATTTATTTCTAATGCTTCTGACTTAGTTTTAAAGGAGCCCTCAACAAACTTGGCAGGTAAAATTATCTGGCGTTTTACAAAGAACTCTAGCTAGCAGCCTGGTAAATGTGTGAATAAGTGGATGGAAATCAGCACAAGGAGAATGCTACTAATAGTATTCTAACACTATGCACGATGGAAGTATTTCCTGTGCCTCGCAAGGAGGTGTACCCATGACTACATCAGAGCAGGACACGTCTCATATCCAACAGGAGTGGGGATAAGGTTTGAGAAAGCGTCTTGTCACGACCTCATGAGGCCATGAGGTTGTTGTTGCCCTTTATGGAACTTGTCCACGTGACACGTGGGCTCTGTCTCGGAGCTGGCACTCAGGTGTTTTTTACCGATTGAATCTGAAGCATGTGCCTAGCATAAATGAAGAGACAGGTGAGTTACCGGCCGGTGAAAAGGCAGGGAGCAGATGTGGTGGAGGCTCTTTGGTGCCTCAGGGCCTCGAGTTCTTAAGGACCGCTCAGAGTGAGATGTTTTTTTAAGTTATAATATTTTGAGAAAGATCTTTATTTGCTTTACACAGCGGTAAAAACTTTATGTTATACATTGTGTACGTGTGTGCTCAGTTGTGTCTTGACTCTTTGCGACCCCATGGACTATATAGCCCACTCTTCTATCCATGGAATTCTCCAGGCAAGAATACTGGAGTGGGTTGCCATTTCCTATTCCATCAGTGTGATTTTTGTTAAATGTATTACAGACTTTTGAAATTGGTAACCTGGATAGCATGTATGGTCATAGTAGGCATTCAGGTATAACTTTCCGGTATGCCAGCATTATGCCTTGTTTTTCTATTCTTTGTGTCCAATCTTCTCCCTAATCCAAAGTAGGTGGTATTGTCTCCATCTTGTACATGAGAAACCTAAAACTGAAAGTAAATTAACTTGTCAGAGGCCACAGAGCAATGTTATAGCAGAGCAAGGACTTGAAGGGAAGGGCTGACCTAGCTTGAAAGTCAATGAATATTACTTTGTAAGAGAGATTCAGCATCAAGATATTTTGGTAAGCTAGCTTTACCCCTGAACGGAATGAAAGTTATTAGTGTTCACGTTCAATGTGCATTTCATAATTTAGAGACTATTCACAGGAAAAGATTTTAGCTGCTGTTTTAACTTTGCTACGTTTTAATACTAGGCGGGAATGTTAGCACCGGGTACCCGAAGAGACATCTACGATCAGAAGCTAACGTTACAACCCGTGGACAACTCGACGATTTCCCTACAGATGGGTACCAACAAAGTCGCTTCCCAGAAAGGAATGAGTGTATATGGGCTTGGGCGGCAAGTGTATGATCCCAAATACTGTGCTGCTCCCACAGAACCTGTCATTCACAACGGAAGCCAAGGCACAGGAACCAATGGGTCAGAAATCAGTGATAGTGATTATCAGGCAGAATACCCAGATGAGTATCATGGCGAGTACCAAGATGACTACCCCAGAGATTACCAGTATGGTGACCAAGGCATTGATTATTAGATTCACAGAGGAGCTCAGTATTTAGCCCATTGTTTTTATTCAGTGAGAACCAAGCTAGCCTTGAGTAATTTTTATCTTGTCTTCCTAAAACACTATTATGCTTATTGTACCTAAAGGAACTATTGCCTTACATACATTCCTTTTTCCTTTTTCTGCCTCTTCCCTAAATAGTTGCCTTTTAGTGCTGTGAAAGTTAAATCCTACAGCATAACCAATAACTCACATATGAAGTAAAAAGGAATACTGTGAAAGGGGAGTACTCTTGTACAGTCAGTTCTTTAATTAAAAATCTATGCATTTTTACAGTCCTCTACTTAAACTGGTATTTTCAAACAATAGGAAGCTATTTTTTTTTTTTTACAGTTTAGTATCTTGTTTCTACATGGAAGACTAAACATGCTTATAGTTAAATGTGGTCTTTGCCAACTAAATTTAAGATGCAGCGTTTTAGAAATTTACATATCAATGTTTCTACAGTATTGTTTGCTAATTTTTAAATAAAGTCCTGATCAGTGTGCATTTGTGATTATATGTGTACTTATTTTTTACCTAAGCCGACGAGATCTTTTCCGAGTGGTGTTTCAAAAGGAGCATGTACAAAACTGGCCTGCAGACATCAGAGTCTGGGGGTGCCTTTGCTCTTCCTGTTTGTGCCAATGTATCGATGTAGAATTGCTCTGTTTTCTTCCACTGTATTTATTGCTGCATTTCTCAGCATAAACCTATCCCATTGTATTTTTTATAAATAAATATTTTTTTTGAACATTCATACGAGCCACAGGCTGATTATTTTTCTGGCTAACTTCAGATGGGTAGAGTCAGACTTTTTTTTTTAAAGTATTCTTTCCCAGGTATTGTTACAAGATACTTTAACATTTCTTTACTGAATCTACACACCATTACACTGGGACTGAATGCTCTAGATGAAGCTTAGAAAAATGAAGGGACCTGCCCATTGCTCACAGGAAATGCCAGCCAGGATTCAAACTATCATTTGACCCTTTGCTTATTCCATTGTGGTTCAGCTGCCTCTACCCTCATTCTAAATCCAATTTGGAATAATCTTAAAATCATCTTGGGAAACATTGGGGATGGGGTGGGGTGATTTTATGTCATAGTCTAGGGTGAATAGATACTAAGAAACGTCTGGATCAGGAATAGGACATGCTATCTGAGAACAGATGAGAATTTATAGTAAGTGTTAGCAAAAACCTAACCTTCAGTTATGACATGGAGGAGGTCAAACATCTAAGTGTTGTAATGATAAAAAAAATCCAATAATGAAGAGACAAGTGGTTAACATACTTTTGGATGTTTTCTCACACAAGTGATATCCTCCGATAGCACTGGCTCTCTTAGGCCTTGGGGGTGAAATGTGCCTGCTTGTTTTTCTCTGAGGCAGATAATGAGGACATGGGGTGTTTGTATCCATAAAAGAAGCACAGTTGACTTGCTCATCACACAACAATGACTTAGTTTAACACTTCAGAGAAACTGCTCTGTAAATCCTTTTCTTAAAAGGAGACTAGTTCAACTAATTCAATGGTACTGTTTAAGAGAAAGATTGTAATTTGCATCTGTTATAGGAGACCTGAGCCGGCATGCAGTTTTCTGCCCTCTGTGAAGAAGAGGGAAACATATTCACTGTTTGCCCTGCCAAATAAGCCAGACTGGGTGTCCTGTTAGGAGAGTGGGTGATTTTGTTTACCTGTTCATCTAGTTGAAGCAAGGCTGCCAATTACCATGTTAGATATTCCTATTTGTTGAAAGCTTTAAAAAGGAAAAACAGTCCAAGGACACCCCTCCCCCCATTTCTCTGACCCACCAATGAATCTAAATCAGGGAATGGGGTCCAGGCAGAAGAACTTGAAATCTTCCTCTAGGCAGTTCTCAGGTGGGGCCGTGCTTGAAAACCACTTATGCAGAACGTTTGCTAATTTCTACAAGGTAGCCTTGTACTTTGAACAAAATTTAACTTCACATCTGATTAAACTTGTGCCTATTCTATGCCATGCCCATCAGGTGGTAGTTCCAGTTACACTTTCGGTTTTAATTGTCCCTAAATTAAAGAATTGTACTTTGAAAAGCTGTAACATAAATAGCTCATTTTCAGGAGTGGAGGATTAGGTAGGAAAAAGTTCTCTGTAGTAGGGCAATATTCCACAGATTTCTGCTAAGGTTTATTGATTGTGAATGAGGAAGTCCTTTTCAGGGTGCCCTGAAATGAGTTTTTGCATAATGTGCTTTTTTAAAAATTGACTGCATAAACAAGGTCTGAAAAGATTTTTCAGTCTCATTTGGTACAAAAAAACACTTTTTCTGTGGTTCTAGTGTTGTAACGTGGTCAAACAATTGGGACAAAAGCAGTGGTGAAGAACTGGGGCCACATTGGGCCTTATCGTTTATTCTGCACACAGCTCTTAGGAGAAGGGAACTTTTTCAGGTGCAAATACCTGATGGGCACTTATCTCACAATGGCCGGAGTTCTGTTCCCTCTTCGCTTGTTAATGAGCTCTTGTCTCTCTGTGCCCTTGTGTTTAATTTGTTGATCCTTTTTACAAAATTCTGAAAAATAAAAGAATGAGTTAGACTAGTGTTCTGTATCCACACTGATGGGCAGTCATTTACTTGGCCATATCATTTCTGGGAATTTAATCCTTAAAGTTTTCCCTGTTGAACTAAAATATCTTGAATAAAAATATCTTCAAAGTGGGTTTTTAATCAAAAAAGTGTAAATTGTAGAAAGAGACCTAGTTAACTTCCTAATACCATACATAAGAACAACCATAAGAAACATATTCTTTGGAATACATACCAAATATGTTAAAGTGTTATCGTATTTTTATGTTCTGTTGGGAGGATGAAGATTTATTTATAAAACTATAGACGTGCTTTTAAACTTCAGTGCCTGGCTGGACTAAGGAGTGCTTTGCATTCTCTGTTTCAAAGCAGAAGGGCCTTAATGCCTAGATTTTATGGTAATGGAGTGAAAGAAAATTGTTAAAATGTTACTTGACAGAGACAAAGGAAAGAGATGAGAAGATTCATTCAGCTGTTAAAATATCCCTGTCTACACAGGATAAGGCAAATATGCAACAACTGTGTTGCAAAAGCTGTTGGGAGCAGCTGCCTGCTCTTTCCAGATAGCAGGATGGGGGCTCTACTGAGGGTGTGGCTTTTCTCAATCTTGTGCCCTGGTTAACAAGGGGCCTCAGAATCACAGATCTGTCAATAGTGGCCTTGAAAGTGATTGGTCTCCATTGGAGTAGGCGTTCCATAAAATACAACTGGTATGACATGATATTTGGGGATGCAAAAATGCCTTCGAAAAAAGATCAACTGTGAAAGCTCCGGACCATACAAAAGGCCAAAATAAGCCATTAAAACCATTAGGGACTTGGATGGCTACTGCACCCAGAATACCTTCTACCCTGGGTCATTTGCTAAGTGTTCATTGTTCAGCTTCACTTTTCTCCAGGAAGAAGTTTTCAATAAGGGAGGTGGGATCAGCCTCAGAAAATAAAACACAAATCTTACTCTCAGGACATTTGGGTCTTGGGACATCAGGCTCACAGAACCTGCCCACCCGGGAGAGAAAATAAGCTGGGGACCAGCCTCCTTTAAGGGCATGTCTTCAACACTTTTGAGATTATGAGGATGGAGGTTGAAAAAGGAAATGAGATGTTTACTTACCAAAAACTCATGGTCCATAAAGTAGGGCTTTTCTGAGGATCCATCATTTGTTTCCAGATCAACAGCAAAACACAGGAAAAGTGCATCCAGCACAGTTTCAAACACAGATAAAAAACTGTGGGCTACTAAGTAGGCAAAAAAAGCAACCAAGAGCAGTGGGATTGCCCACACCTGAAGCACACGGTGGTAGTTAAATGCCATCAGTCCTCCAAAAACTGTGAAACACACCACTAACACCTGTCCAAAACAAGAGTTCATTGAAAATTTTTATAAATTGGTTAGGATACTTTAGAAAAGATTTTTGTCAGGTATAAGCAATAGTTTGATATATGTGCATATGTGGGGGTGTATATGCCTTACTATAATGAGTACATGTCAGAAAACTGGATACAGTAATATCGGAAGAAGAAAAAATGAAAAGCTATGATGATACCAAAAGAAAACCCAGTTAATTTGGAGAATGGGAAGAATATATATACTTTCATTTTATCTGTGCCTAATTTTTTTTATTTATGTAGATATAATGGTACCTCAGGGCTTCCCTGGTGGCTCAGTGGTAAAGAATCCATCTGACATTGCAGGAGATGCAGCTTTGATTCCTGGGTTGGGAAGATCCCCTGGAGAAGGCCACCCACTCCAGTATTCTAGCCTGCAGAATTCCCATGGACAGGGGAGCCTGGCAGGCTACAGTCCATGGGGTCACAAAACAGTCGGACTCAACTGAGCAACTAAGCAACAATGGTACTTCACAAAATTTTTAGTCTTTTTTTACTAAAAGCTACAATAAGCATCTTCATTAGAAAAGTTTTTTTTATACATCCTTATTTTTAAAAACAATGATGCATCAATCCATTGAGTGGATGTACTGTAGTTTAACGTGTGATTACTTTTATCCTGGGGATTAAAGTGGATGGGCTTTCTAGTGCTGGTGTAGGGATAATAGGATAATAGGCTTTGCTATATGTAATTACTGTATTTCCAGGAAATGATTATAGGCCGTGAGGAACCTAATTCTCTACCAGACAAAATGGAACGCGCCGGACCCCTCATTGTGCTTGGATATCCATAAAGATGGATGTGAATCTGCGTGCCACTTCATTCAAAAAAAAACCATCAGTAATGATGTGTTCCTTCTGAAAAATACAAGAAAATGAATTACTGCCTAAAATAAAACACAAGTCTTACAAAAATGAAACCTCTTAATAAAAATTTCTGGAAGTAGTTATTACAAAATGTATCACCCACAACCCTACCAAGCTAATGTAAACAATATTATCCATTTAGGTACAACTTGGATTATTAGGCTGTTTTAAAAGGCGTAATCAATTTGTGCTTCTAGAGCTACTGTCACAAGAAAAGTCTCTGAGACCCAGCTGTGCCTTAAACTATATGTGCAATTAGCACACACCTATGAAATCCAAGCATGTTCTAACTTGCTCCTGACGGCTCACCGAGACAGTGATGTACTGGAGACATACACCAAATGCCACAGTGCTAAACAGGGAGTCACGAGTCCCCATATTTGGCACTGGCACAAGTGGAGACTAGATCTCGTTCACTCGGGCTCCATGAAAGCCACGGGCGTTTGTGTCCTGTGAGGAGGCATGGCTGGAAGAAGCAAGGATGTCTAGCTTAGAAAAGTGAAGATGTGGAAGGAAGGTCAGGATGTCTGTGAAACTGTCAGGATGTCTGTGAAACTGTCTGTGAAATTTCAAGAATTTGAAAGGCAGTCAGATGGAATTAGGATGAAGCAAACTGAGGTGTGCAGAATTAAGCCCAGTGAGTGACAACTACATGGAGAGACACTAGCCAGGATAAAGAACCTTCAGCCTGAGGGGCTGGAGGACTGCTGCTACTTCAGGGACTCTAACCTGCAACCCGGGACGGGGCTGTTAGTTTTAGTTTGTAGGTAGGAAAAATGAGGTTTTCACAAGATGACATACAACTAACTCCATAGAAAAAGATGACAGCAGGAATGCAACTGGCTCCCTTTGAGATAGCAATAATTCTGTATATTTAGGAAATTAATGCTCTTAGTGTAGAAATTTCATCAGGCTTTAACACTATGTCCATACATTTTTAAAAAATATTTATTTATTTATATTTATTTGGCTCTTCTGGGTCTTAGTTGTAGCATGTGGGATCTAGTTTCCTAACCAGGGATTGAACTCAGGCCTCCTTCATTGGGAGCATGGAGTCTTAGCCACTGGACCACCAGGGAAGTTCCAATTTTCATATATTTTTATGACACAGAGTCTTCATTCTAGATATGAAAAAGTGGGATCACAATGGTAGACTGGATAATAGCTAAGAGTAAAACTAAGATTTGAATCCTGACTCAACCTACTGTGGAATCCTAGCCAAATTATTAAACCCTAGTTTCTTCACCTGTGAAACAGAGATACTTCACAGGATTGATGATTAAATCAGAGGATAAGGCCCAGCACAGAGTAAGCGCTCAGGAAACCGTTCTCTGTCAAAGTCTTGCTGTATGTCTTAATTTCTGGATCCCAAGTTACTTTATTATTTTAGTTAAGACATCCTACCTTTCCTAGAAAAATTATGAAGTCTCCAAAGCAGTTAACAGATGTAAAATGACTTGAATTCTTGGATAAGAGTTTGAGCGCATCTTTTGCTGATGTACAAAAATCTGTCCCATTAATGGCAGTTGTAGTGTATGCATTCTGCAATAAAAGACAATAGTTAAAAAGATGATGAGTTTTACTGTTTTAAAGATAATACAGTGCCAGTACAGAATATTTGCAAAATAGTTACCATAAACCCACTATCTCTACCCATAAAAGTCATTTCAAAGTCGCTTTCAGTCTCTGGAATATATGCACATATATTTTCACATAATTGCAGTAAATGGAAAAGAAATATTTCTGGTCAATACGGTGGATTAAATGATGAGTACTGCATAATTATCTTAATGCATAGCAGAGTTTGAGGGCAAAGAAGTTTAGGTACTAGAAACAAAGCAGACCCTACCTAATGGTGAGCATTGAACCACAAAGACTCAGGGCAGGGAATCAAGTAAGGGCTTTAGGAGTGAGGGGCTGGGGGTTGAATCCCTTGCGGGTAAGAAACAATGCTCAGGCCCATGCCGGGAAACTGAACTGTCTCTACAATCACAGAATTTATATTCAGTCATTCAAGGAAATTGGTCAAGAAATGCAACTTCTGCCTGGGACCCCTGAAATGCCTAGGGTCTGGGCAGAGGAAACCATATTCCCCAGGGAATGGTGGAGCTCCACAGATAACCATACTTGAAGAAGATGAAGTGTTCGCATGAAAAATTTACAGGAGACTCAAAGAAATGAACAGTGAATCAACCAAGAGAATCTGCACCTTGAGAACAATCTGAAATAAAGCATTCAAAGAAGTAAGTTATGTTTAAGATGTTAAGAAGATGACAGAAGGAAGAGTAACCATAAAGAATGAACAGCATGATATGAAAAATGAAGAGGCAGAGTAGAAGACAAATGGAATAGAAATTCTAGAAGTAAAAAGATATACAATTTAAATGGTGCGATGTCATCGTTATATATCTGACTTACTTTACATAGGAAATAAGCATCTTCATGTTGCTCCTTGACTTTTATTATTCTAATTTTTAATAAATACATATTATATCAGGAGTGTGTATATGCATGTACATATGTAGCTAGGACATATTTAAACTATTTAAAATATTTGCTATTATAAATAACTATGCAATGAACATCTTAATTTCATGATTTTGGATCATTTTTTAAGGATAAATTTCCAGAAACGGGATTACTAAATCAAAGAGGACAAGTGGGTGCATGTGTTCATGTGAGATTTCTTGGGTCATTTTTCCAAAATACCTTTTCCTTATAACTACATGATAATTTCAAAGCCATCTATTTACATTTCCCCTGAAATCTTTAAAATGCTACCTGCACTGCCAGTTTACAATAATTTATAACTTCCCTTGGAAAATATACTGGAATGTTACCTGCTTTGGTTTTGCCTTTTCTTTTGGCTTAAAGGAAGAAAGTTTCATTTCATGATATAAAGCAAATCCTTTCAAACACCCATTCAAAAACACTGTAAAGAAACCAACTTGGAGTCCACTGCAGTGATCCAGCCCTCAGTGGTGCATGTCTTAATCAGAACAAGTTATAGAAGAGAAGAGGAGTAAGGCCATAGAATTAACTTTTATTTTTTGGCTATGTACACATTGCTATATTTAAAACGGACAAGCAACAAAGACTCACTGTATAGTATATGGAACTCCATTCAATATTATGTAACAACCCAAATGGGGAAAGATTTGAAAAAGAAGAGGTACATGTACATGCACAAGTGAATCGCCTTGATGCACACCTGTAACCTAACTCAGCCTCTCTTGGTAATTCCCTCTTCCCCACGGTCAATTAGAAAGGAATATTTGGTTCTCAAAGATGAAAGATTGGATATTTACCTCCCCAGGGAGAGCACCCTGCCTGCCTCAGCAGGATATTCTCTGTCAGACGTCAGATGAGGTCCCCCCAGAAGTGCCTTAATGGTATTCCACAAGAACTTTGGATTTCTGACTTACTGCGAATGCATGTAAAATTCACTTTTAAAATCTCAGACTGGCTGTTGGCAGACTTAAGTCCACTAGTTTGAGGACTTAAGTCTTGAGAAGTGATGTGAAAACTCATTGCTCATTATCTGATTAAGCATCTCTGATCATCTAAGGTTCTCAGAGCCCTCACCACCAACTCAATGTCCTGAAGACATATGTGCGGGGCAGGTAGGTAAATGATGGAATCAATCTTTTACAGACTGAAAACCAAGGTCAAGGGCATTGCCCCAAGTGCTCTGGAACATCAGGGAGGTTTTATTTTTTGTTTTTTTTTTCATTCTAACTTTCTGGATATGACACTATCAAAAGGCTATTTTAAAAGCATGGTGCTTGGCACAAAGACAGAAATATAGATCAATGGAACAAAATAGAAAGCCCAGAGATAAATCCATGTACCTATGGACACCTTATCTTCAACAAAGGAGGCAAGAATATACAATAGAAAAAAGACAACCTCTTTAACAAGTGGTGCTGGGAAAACTGGTCAACCACCTGTAAAAGAATGAAACTAGAACACTTTCTAACACCATACACAAAAATAAACTCAAAATGGATTAAAGATCTAAATGTAAGACCAGAAACTATAAAACTCCTAGAGGAGAACATAGGCAAAACACTCTCCGACATAAATCACAGCAGGATCCTCTATGACCCACATCCCAGAATTTTAGAAATAAAAGCAAAAATAAACAAATGGGACCTAATGAAACTTAAAAGCTTTTGCACAACAAAGTAAACTATTAGCAAGGTGAAAAGACAGCATTCAGAATGGGAGAAAATAGCAAATGAAGCAACGGACAAAGAATTAATCTCAAAAATATACAAGCAACTCCTGCAGCTCAATTCCAGAAAAATAAAAGGCCCAATCAAAAAATGGGCCAAAGAACTAAACACACATTTCTCCAAAGAAGAGATACAGATGGCTAACAAAGACATGAAAAGATGCTCAACATCACTCATTATCAGAGAAATGCAAATCAAAACCACAATGAGGTACCATCTCACGCCAATCAGAATGACTGCTATGCAAAAGTCTATAAGAAATAAATTCTGGAGAGTGTGTGGATAAAAGGGAACCCTCTTACACTGTTGGTGGAAATGCAAACTAGTACAACCACTATGGAGAACAGTGTGGAGATTTCTTAAAAATCTGGAAATAGAACTGCCATATGACCCAGCAATCCCACTGCTGGGCATACACACTGAGGAAACCAGAATTGAAAGAGACACATGTACCACAATGTTCATCACAGCACTGTTTATAATAGCCAGATCATGGAAACAACCTAGATGTCCATCAGCAGATGAATGGATAAGAAAGCAGTGGTATGTATATACGATGGAATATTACTTAGCCATTAAAAAGAATACATTTGAATCCATTCTAATGAGGTGGATGAAACTGGAGCCTATTATACAGAGTGAAGTAAGCCAGAAAGGAAAACACCAATACAGTATACTAATACATATATATGGAATTTAGAAAGATGGTTATGATAACCCTGTATGCAAGACAGCAAGAGAGACACAGATGTACTGAACAGTCTTTTGGACTTTGCGGAGAGGGTGAGGGCAGGATGTTATGGGAGAATGGCACTGAAATATGTAAATTATCATATGTGAAACGAATCGCCAGTCCAGGTTCGATTCATGATACAGGATGCTCAGGGCTGGTGCACTGGGATGACCCAGAGGGATGGGATGGGGAGGGATGTGGGAGGGGGATTCAAGATGGGGAAAAGCATGTACACCCATGGCAGATTCAAGTTAAAGTATGGCCAAACCAATAGAACATTGTAAAGTAAAATAAAGTAATTAATTGAAAAAATCAATACAAGTCCACATTATGTAATTTCTTTAGATAAAAAAAAGTACTATTATATATCCCTTTGCTATGGAATGACTTCTTGTCATCAGTAGCTAACACAGTAATGAAAATGAATAGAACTTAGGGCAATTTTAATAATCTGTAGCTTTTTATTTTTGGCATATATTCTGATATTTGAGAAGAACATCCACGATCATTCTCTCATGCAAGTATATTTAAGATCAGTGTAGTAACAAGTGACTACATCATGGTTCTCTTCTAGGTAACTAGGAGAGGTAGATAGACATGCATGTTTGTGGAGAAAAACTAGTGACCCGGGCAAGATATCAATGTCTGGGCAGGATATCAAACTCATGTGTGGATCATCCTCTGATCACAGAGAATGGACTGATTTCTGAACATAAATGAGATGGGAAATGGATGAACTGACATTGCTCAATTGCTATCCCTTTTTGGGTTTATTACAAATATTAGGAAAGGGTAGTTAGTTTTAGAACAATAAGAAGAGTCATATAAGTAAGTAGCATTAGAAGTTTTCAAGCAAAGAGGATAGTAATTTAGTAATAAAATACAGTAACCAATCCCCCACTTCAATGAATAAATCCCTTCACTTGTAGGCACCTATCTTTCATGCTTTAATTAATAGATGTGTGGCATGAAAAATAAACATTTTGCATTGTAACAAAATGTGTGATTTAACATTTTTCCCTCACATTTACGGTCATCTGTGACACTAAGATAGTATCAGGTAAATTTATTCCAGTTTGTATTTCCATATAGATTTCACTGGGAAGTATATATGTATGTGTCTAAAAATCAAATTTTTTTTTCCAGCGGCTACCTTCCCTGGTGGCTTGGATGGTAAATAATCCACCTGGAGTGGAGGAGACCCTGGTTCAGTCCCTGAGTTGGGAAGATCCCCTGGAGAAAGGAATGACTATCCACTCTAGTATTCTTCTTGGGAGAATCCCATGGACAGAGGAGTCTGGGAGGCTACAGTCCATCAAGTCACAAAGAGTCAGACATGACTGAATGACTGAGCACACTTGTGTTCACCAAGGTGAATAATTTAATGAAACCAGAAGTGCAGTTATGAGACAATAGCAAGTTTGCAGTTTAAGTATCTGGCATTAAGGTTTCAACTATAATGTAAGAGCCAGTAATTCAGCTTTGGATTTCTGAGGCATCCTTTTTAAAGACAATATGTTGAATAAACATATTGCCAGCTATATGACAACAGCTACTAGACAAGCACCCAGAAG